TGATTTTCAAGCACAATGTCGTTTTAATTGAAGACTCCGGTCACCATCATACTATTGTTTGGAAATATATGCCCTTCAAATTCTGCTGTTTTTTAAAATGAATTGACTTTCTGCATGAAAGACAGCACCAGAAAAGTTTTTTTTTTCTGTTATAGTACACTAATACTGTGCTTGTCATAAGAATAAAATGTTCTTTCCTCCTTGCATGTTTGCAAACGTTATGTCTACTCTCTGCGATAAAAGAGATCAAACATCTACATTCAGTTCACAACAACAAGGGATCACAAAGACAGCCCATAAATTCTAACCAGAGGACCCAGTTCAGGTCTCCAAGAACAACATTTGGCACCAGCGGGCTGTGAAAAGAAGGACTGTTTTCCAGCCAGCTCGCAGTCCAGAAACCCTTCTTATCATGTTCATCCCAGTCATCAGAACAGCCCCTTCAGTGCTGAAACATGCTGTCACAATGGAAGAGTGAGTACGACCTGGGGGGATTATTGTGCTCTGACCATCTTGCCAATAGTTTCAAGAAAATGTTCTTAAAAGGAGTTCTTGAAGATGAATCGATTTAGCCAATTCCAGTGTTTCTTTGTGAGGTATCGTTTGGAAAGCCTGTGGAGTCCGGCTTCACAAAGCTAGTTCTCTCTCTATTGTGTGTGCTGAGGCACAGCCTTCAGTGGTCTGCAGGCCCCTGACTGTTGTCAGTGCTGTGCCATCGTGAGAACATACAGTTCAGTAACAGTGGTGGTGGTGATCTGCAGCTGTAGCTCACTATACAGTTTCTCCAATGAGTGCTTCTGTCTCCTGGAAGCACACCCAAGACTCTGGATAAATCTTTGACCGACAACAGGTTTGCATGCCAGATATCTGAACATAGCCTGCGCCCTTTGGCAACTGACTACTTCACAAGTACATGTTCCTTTCTGACAATGCTGAATGCCGTAGATCTTATGGTATCTATTTTTTAATATAGTCTCAGGCAGAATGACAGCTTTCAATACTCGGTACTTCACAATAACATGTATAATTACGGAAAATAAGTACATTAGATGCCAAAACAACCTTTGGTTTGTATGTGTACAGCTATTTATCACATCTATACTCGGTTTAGATATGACATCTGAAATTGCAATATTCTCCTGGCCCCTAGATTTTGTTTATGTTAATGTGTTCTATTATATATGGATACTCTAGAATTATCACAGTAATCATTGTGGGAAAGCTTCCGATAAGGATGGTGGCAATTATGGATAGATTACACACTTTAACCATTTTCTGTGAGGTACGCTTTTTAAAACGTGGGATAAGGTTGCCCCCTTGTGGAAAACGGTAAGTTTTACCCTTGGAAAGACCTTCAAGTTTCATGTTGTAAGTCTTACGTGCTTTGTAACAAAGCCGTATAAATACGTTTGTATTTAAAATACCACCTAAAACACACCGCTAAACGTCAAGAGTAATATATACGACTACACTGCGATACCTAATGATGTTCAGAGCTGTGCAAAATACAGAAGAACAAAAGTATTGAAACAGCAAAGTCAAAACCGTTACTTTTGCTTTATGGTAAGGCAATATTTTTTAGGACGACATTTTGTGTAATAATTTCAGATGCTTCCCCAAGCCTTGTTGAAGCCTATCTTTTGGCCTGTTCTGACTTCAATTTTTTTCTAAAGGAAGGAAAATACACATTAAGCTGCATAAAAACGAGCACATACTCGTTATATTAATGCTCCGTCTTAAAGTTTACGAGTAGAACAATGTTATAAGAAAGTACGTTTACTTCGCCTTTTACATACTGTCTCAGTTGCCAGTGGTAGAACTACTCACAATTTGGAAATCGCCTGGCTTGCTGAAATTCCAATAGTAGTTTCAAATCTAACTCTCGCAGCTCCAAGACACATTACTAACCCATTATCACGAACAAGCTGTCTCCACATCACTAAGAGCACTGAGACCTTGGAATTAAAAAAAGGATCTCTAAACAAAAGCAGCAAAAATCGGAAATTATTTTTGCATGTTTCAAATGCTAATTGCATACCCACAAAGACGTTTTCAAAGTGAACAAAATATACTGTCATACTTTAACTTTTCAGATCATTAAATGGTCGTTCTTCTTTAAACCTCCAAAATAATAGTTTTATTTGAAATGAGAATTTTTTAAAAAAAATCAAGCGTCCTAAAACGAAAGTTTGCTTGAATATGCATGTAAATTTCCTTCTGAGCTAAAAAAACGATCACACAGGAAAAAAAAAACTCTTCCTTTCTCAATTTGTTCGTGACGAGATGTAATAACGTGACATAAGGAAGACGATGCAGTGGTTGTCTTTTTGCTTGTTTTTTTTTTTTACTGACGGTAAGCGATTTACGATTTACGTTTTAAACGTAATTGATTTCTTACGTCTGCCCGACACTAATATATTATCTCTTACACGTGCTCCCCTGGACTCAGTGAAAAAAATCGCAATTGAATTAGTTCTCAATAGTATAATTCCGGTCGATTTGCTGGTTAGATTAACTGCTTTCTGGAAATTGCCCCTGTGCGGCCGGTGATAGACAGGTGCTCTTTTCTATATAACAATCTTTGCCTCTGAGTTGGATTACTGTGACTTTCTCAGGAATAAGCGGCTTTCTGATAAAGATGGATGCAGTGAATGGATGTCTCCAACTCAAATTTAATTTAAGCATGTTACATCCACATGTTTTGGTTGTGCCTTTCAGTTTTAGGCTCAAGACTCCCACACTTGCCGTTATCTGCATTTCTTTCAAACGTGATGTCCATGACATTGCTTGAAGGGATGACGTACAGCTGTATAAGGCCATCTTTTTAAGAAAAGCAGGGGATGATTCAAACCCTAACAACAACTTGTATAACCTTGGATTTTGTTTGATTCATTAGGTAAAATGAGCAATCGGAGGCCTGTATCTCTTCATCTTGAATACTTTTTCTCTGAAGGTACTCAAGGTGTTGCACAAAGATCCATTCTTAGGCTGACTTGGTTTTCATGATGTCACCACTGGGGCAAACTGTGCACAAACATGAGGAGAAGCCTTGATTGTTCTGCAACTATACCCAGCTGTACAAATTGTCAGGATTTTATTAATAAATGGGTGCATACGTTTATTAAGTTCTGTTGAAGCTCAGGCATTATGGGATACTTGAAATAAACCTAAAAGTTTAATTGTATCTGTAGTGGTTTTACTGCCAACTGGTAGAACAAAATGAGAAACGAGTTGTATTCTTTGATCAAGTTCTTTCCTTTTGCTAATATATAAGAAATGTCTATAAGGTATAGTTTCTTCAGCTATGAAACTATGACAAAATCAGACACATTCTTCCCCTGTCTTCCCCTGAGAGACTTATGTACACTTTTGTAACCCAGTAACGAGATTATTGCAGTGTCATCTTCTCAACAAACTGGTTTTATATTGCATTATTGATTTCTGCTTCTCTTTTTATACATATATACTTTTTATTATATGCAAAACTATATTTTTTACAGTTCAAGTTTTTTTGTCAGCTTAATCTCAGTTTAAGCCAAAAGTGCTTATAGGATAAATGTACACCATATGTTACACAGCAATGTTTAATGAAAGCTCCCAGGTTTAGATTTAATTGTTTAGTACTCATTTTGTGATCACACTTTCAAGTGAACATTAATCCATCAAATATAGTTTATATAACATTTTCCTCCTTTACATAATTACATTCTTACAATATTTATACATGCAATTAGTAGTCTGGTTGGAATCCTTTCTTAATTTATATTTTGTTTTGATAAATTTAACAAAATGCAAGTTACCTATTTTGTGCCTAAGAGGTGTGTTCGCTGCAAAGGGAACAAGTAAAGGTTAATTGCACTTTATTTACAAATAATTAACCTCACTAACCTTACTTTACACAACTCTCTAGTGTCAATAAGTCTATATATGTCTCAGTGCTGTACTTTATATTCATTCTAGGCTTTTTGCAACACTAGCCTTTTAATCCAAAACGGAAAAAAAATCAATGTACTAAATAACTGGTTGTTTACTATTCAGACCTCACAAATTCGTACCACGGAGAATGTTTCTGCCCTAGTGGTAGGCGGTAACACTGTTTTCTGCAAACGTTTTGAGGTTACTGTGAAAACATTACGGATTACCTTTAGGTGCTTCTGTTGAAAAGTAAAACCAAAAAACTTGCTTTAAACGGTTAAAATGTCCTTTCGATTCACTGATTGTCAACAGTAGAGCAAGGGCTTATTGACTATTTGGAACTGATCTGGAAGAACATGTAATAACTTTTCATAGCTTAGTTCTCAAACTTTTCCCAAAGGTTAGGAGCCCTTAACATTTCCAGAGTTGCAGAAATTCCTCATTATAAATGTACGTCACTAAGACCGGGAGGGGGAAAGGAGGAGAGAGATGAAAGTGGAGCGGTGCTGGGAGAAACCCAGTAACAGTAAACACGATAAAATGTCTACTCTGACAGGTCTAATAAACTGCTACATTCAGTTCAGCAGAGATAGTGTGGTTATTTCGGCATATGTTAAGTTGTTCTAAAATGTGATCGGTCCCTCTTGCAGATTTAGTTTTATCTGAACGATAATTTAAACTGAATAATTTGGGGTGAAGAGAGGAAGGTGTAGTTGTGTGGCGAGAGGGTCTGGGTATGCGCATAACTTTAAAAGACGTGATATCTGAAAATGCATACAATACAATGCTGCTATTTGAAAAGAAATGTAACCATGTAAAATAACGCCATCTTTTCAAAGAACAGAACGTAACACAAATTGTTACACGTTGTAAACTTCATATTAGCTATGTTGAGGAAACACGGATTTAACACTCTCGTTTAAACTGTATTTACCACTAAAAATAGAACTTCAGAAGCTGCTAGACTTTTTTTTTTAGTCGCTTACATTTTAAAAGTGGGACTTACCCGTGTTGTTATTTGAAGACGCTGGTTTGGGGGGTAAATCTGCCGTATTTTCTTTCATTCAGTTGACCCGCAGCAGCGTGTCTCCGGCCAGTAGATGGCACTGTAATTCAGCGTAGCCATTCAAACGAGTGAGAATCCGGTGTTCACGTTTCTGCCGCTTTGGAAGCTGAAAGACTGACGTTGTTAAAACTTTTAAGGTAGGAGATGCCACAGTTATGCATATAGCAATTCTTTGTGTGCAGTTATTATTTTTGACGTATGCTGCAATTGAAACCAAATTAACGCTATTGAATAAAGCTTTCACTCTCCCTGTAGTAATGACTATTCAGTTTTTACATCTTTTAATTGCATGTGTAATTTGTTGTATGAAGGCACTAATAATATTCTAAAGCGTTTGTTTTCATTTTAGCTGTTTAAATTCCTCTCATTTCAACCACTGACCTCTGTATATCCCTAAAAAGTCACCATTGCCCTCACAGTGGGATCCCTCAATACTTTTCTCCTTTCCCACTGTTTGTTAATGTTAATTGCTACTTCAAAGCATGACTGCTAGCTTTAAAGAGACAAAATGTGAAAACTGTTTGACATCTGAATAGTCTTGCACGACACTGTATGAAAATCAAATAGCTTCGATTTGTTGTTGCACATCTCAGCAACAAAGAAGTCAGTTTTAAGCACCAGGTGTGGACATGCTGAGTTCTCTGAAATTGATTCTGAGTAAATATCTGACTTTCCAGACTCCAAAGACAAAAATAGACCAAGAAAAAATATTCACTTAGAGTTTCCAAGAATGTGGTTTGAGAATCCCTGGCTTAGATACATGGTTGCAGAGATAAAAAAAAAATAGGTCTTATTTTAAATCAATTTTTTTTTTTCACAGAAACCTCATTGTATTAAATATCACGTGCAATCTTTCTACATTAAAAAAGAATCCGGGTATTCTTTCACGCATTTTAACTTGTCTACCATAGCATAGTCTGACAGTCTATTTTAGCACAATTCTATGAATTAACAGCATAAAGAATCTTTATGCTGATAATTTTTTCAATCTCCTGTTAAGATCATTCCTTAGCATTTCAGTGATGTTGAAGTCAAGGTTATGATTTCAAATTCTGTTTTACAGTCATTTCAGTAAGCTGGCAGGGCTCTTAAGGTGAGGGCCTGTGGAAAAATAAATTGCTGTGCAATAAATATGCAGTCTGCAGTTTCTCAGCCCCCAGTGTCACACGCCCAGAAACCAGTGACCGAATCTGTGGAGCCAGGTGATCTAGTGCATTCGAAGGACCTTAGAAGTTTTAGTGGGTTCACCACAATAACATGAGCCCTGTTACACTTTTCCACCTGGACAATTGTCCTTCCAAATTCTGCCCTGTCCATTAGACATCAAGACCCAGTGATCAGAGTCCTGAATCCAGTGTGGCAAGTCTGTATTTCCCTCAGTAGGGTCTGTGGGTCCTCTTGGGTCCTGAAGTGACTCCCTCTCCTGTTTGTGTCCCAGCACATCAAGACCTTCGCTTCACCACTTTTGTATTTTACTGTAGACCAATTTAAAGAGTAATATAGTCATTTTAAGATTTAAAATATTAAAAAAGCAGTTGTGTCTTGCCCAGTGTTTACCTAAAATCATGTACCTGGTATACTCTGGGAACTGGAATTAATTTACATTGGATATAGCAGTTTGATCTCTTTTGGGGTCAAATAGTTCTAGATTTTTGTATCAATGTCCTTGTGACCCATAAATGCTGTATATATTAGTGGAATATGCCAATCTATTCAGGTTTCCTCAAAATAATATCAAATGCCAAGCACCTGTAGTTGACTTGTGTTACCAGAAACTTGTCCAATCCCTGAAGTTTGCTGTGTGGATATTACCAGTTCTCGTACATTTGATGACAGAATTCGTCTTGCTTCATGTTCCAGTTTCTCACCCACTAATGACAGTAGGAGTCAGTTGGGAAAAACAGGTTCCCAGAGGTTAACCGTCAGAGACTACCAGTGAGTTTTAAACCTGCAACTGTCCCTGATAAAATCATTTCATGTTGCTTTTGCAAGGGCAAAGACCAACAACACCTCCAGGGTTGTAATAATGAGCTGGGTACATTTAAAGAAGCTCTACCCCCCTCCCTGCCCTGACATTGATAGCTCATCGGTAAGCCCTTGAAACACAGAGCATTATTCTTACTGGCACAGAGAAACATCGGGAGATAGATGGAACCAGGATTCTGTGGGTAACAGAGTTTTGATATCTGGGGTGCTTTGTGACGGCAGGGCAGATTGGACTGGACTTGGCGAGTTTCTTCCTGGAAACTGAGTTTTGTCTGGTGCAGTGAATAATCCCTTTCGGAGCTGTTGATGGGCATTGTCAGGCAATCCCCCAATAGTCTTCCTCTCTGGATATGATTCCTGGATGGATATGGTCATCTCTTGGGCAGAAACTCCTAGGTGGGCGAAGAGCTTTTGCCACTCCCATGTTTGAAAGTATGAAGATGAACCTTCACTCTCCACAGGCCAAAGAGCCAGGACAGCTGAAGTTGTGCTCTCAGAGGTACATTTTGGAGCTCGCTGGTGATACTGACAAGGACCCTGCCTACTGAGACAAGATGGTGGTTTTGGGCAGGATGTGGAGTAAGCAGACAGTCACCACCACGTCTGCAAAGGTACGTGAGTGAGTCCCTCCAGGTTTCCTTTCCTGGGAATGACATAAAAATGACTAAACAGCTGTTAGAACTTTCTCTTATGTACTGTAGCTAACATTTAGTAATGCCAGAAATATTGGACACATTTAATCTCTGCAATAAAAATAGTCTGATTTGGCACATTTCCACCCACTGCGTTTGCATTCTGATTTTAAATTTTGTTAGATTGTTGTGAATACAGAAGTAAGCTTATCTTCCGCGTGGGACAAACTCTTAAGTAATGGGAAAGGAGACCTGAAGCATTAGAATATCAAAGGGCAGACTTTGTGGGTGTAGCTGCACTCGTATGTTGGTATATGGGCTCACTTACTGTACAGAGCCTAGATGAACTATTTAAGCAGATGCTGGGGGGAAATTGTGTTCTCTTGGTCCTACTGTGCTTACAATGGTAGTCGCTAAACGTTACGGAAGCGCAAAGAGAATTTCCATTTTTTTCTGTTAGATAACATAAGTTCAAAAAGTTGTCTCCTGAAATACATGATATTGGCCCTTACAGCCTAGCGATTTGATTCTATGTCCTGCCACAGGCTTGGCATCCTCAGCAGGAGCACTGCATCTGAGTGCAGTTTTCAAGCAAGAGGATGCAATACTGACTTCTTGTGGTCATTAAAACAACTACATTATTTCAGCATGAGCTAAGTAATACCCATCATCCACTTGGCCATTCGGTTGTGTTGTTTCTGTTTCTGTTTCTTGGCAGTAGAGAAACAAGTGCCTGCTATAAACTGATGTGTAGAAATAAACTGTTTACTGAAAGAATGCTCACAGTACAATATATTATGTCATGGAGTCTTAAAGGTGTTCAGTTCAATGTAGTGCCCTTTCTTGCACTCAGCAGACTTTTTAAAAAGAAAATGGGGTATTGTTCAGACATTAACCCTGCGGTTCCAGTGGTTGAAGGATGAAAGATACACTCATGGATGGGGGGTTTTGCACACGATGTGGTTTTGCCTAATTTCAGAGGAGCTGAAGGTATAGTTGATTGACAGAGGCTTATACAAGTTTATACAAGTTAGGAAAATAGCATTTCCTAATACCATACAGTATACTTGTGTATGAGCATAATGACACTAAACTTGGTCATTATGCTCATACACAAGTATATGGTATTAGGAAATGCCATTTACCTAGTTCTCAGATGGTAAGTAGTACAAAAAACAATACAATTGTATAGGAAAAGAAAGAACGAGACAACAGGCAATGTGCAAAACAACAACGGGTAACAGATAATGTGCAAAATAACATCAGTTGTGCAAAATCATACGTCAACAGAATGAAATAAAGGATACTAAATTATGGGGAGATAACTTCTTGACATGTGAGGTAGAGGTAGATTTCAATGTGTGTTTGGGTTTGAGACAGTAGTTAAGGTTGCACTGTCACATTGCTTTTGATAGTCTGCAGATTCCGGTCTACATCAGACATTTTTATGGGTTGTTCCATGCCAAGATGGACTTTACTATTCCATCAGTTTCGCCCCACAATGCAGATTTGGATGAATGAGATTGTCATGTTTGGTAAAAATGAACCTAATATTTTAATTTCTCTAGATTTTTTAAAGATTGACTGTATGAGCTGTTGTAAGACAGAAGATCTCAAATGGCTAGAAATTGAGTGTCCAGCTATCCACCAGAATATAAGACCTTTTCTCCACACTGTTCTTGGCTAATGAGCTTAAATTAGCTGAAGTGACAGAACAGACCACATATCTTTGGGCATATGTGAAAAAAGTGAGTATGAAGGGAACTTTTTTGGCTCTTGCTGCAGGTTGTGGCTCTGCATTTGAAGTGTAATAACAAATGTAACATCATACACAGACACAGGAACTGAGGAAGTCAGTCAAAGCTGAAATTCTGCAGAACCAATAACATAGTTTTGTGTGCTCAAACATGAAGAAATTCCCCATTATTCTCAATTGCATTTTATCAGCAGGTGCTGCCAATAGGTGGCAGTATTTCTTACTGGGAATGCCTTATTGTTCGTTGTGTTTTTGATTTCCTGCTTCGTTACTCGCTGTAGAAACTTAAGTCGGCTGATTTTCATCCAGATGTTTTTTGTCCAAAAGCTTGCATAGTTTGAGGTTAGTCCATTTCTCACCCTAATGAGATTGGACAGCTGATGTTAATGAAGCATTTCATTATTCCCTTCTCTTTCCACTCATTCAATAATCATGCACCTTTGAATACGGTGAAGTACCCTACCCCAGAGTAGGACAGCAGTGTGTTCAAGTGGGAGTGGGGATCTCTGCCAGTATAAAGGCCGCAAAAGAACAAATGGAAGTGAATTCCAGGCTGAATCACAAACAGAAAAGGCCTACAGTCCTTTTCTTGGCTTTTTAAAATTATTTTTTTGTGTGTGTCTGTTTCTCCATTAGGATGCATTGAAAGGGATCAACTGATAATCGTTGTCTGAAAAGAGTCAATATACGGTAAAAGTGAGGATTATGGTCTTCAAAACTGCTGGTATGGTGCTGTGTAGGTTCTGTATGCAAGTTGACGGTAGATGGCATCGGTTTTGACATTGTCAGGATGATCAAGCGTGGCCTATCCTCTGTCACATACAGAACCCCAGGGAGTGAGGAAATGTGGGCCAGGGTCAGCAGACTGTAATCCCAAGAGTAAGAGGGGGCAGTCTGCTGAGATAAAGGCTGAATGTTCAGCCAATTTGCAGTGATTGGGCCTATTGGAAAGGAGGTAGTCCTTAGAAGAAAATTAATGATCCTGAAGTCTAATTGGCTTACTTAAAACTTCTTCAGTTGGGCACATTGAGCCTGATGCTCCTGAAATCAACCATGTCTGAAATCCCCCTCAATAGAAACTAGTTAAAAGTTTTGGTATGTATTATACTATTATGATTATAAGTATAATCACATATATAATAAGTATAATCAAGTATATAATAAATATAATGTCCACACACTAAGAATCAAAAATAGCTTTCACCACAGCACTTTTTCTGTAGTTTCACTACTTCACTGCCAGCAAAAATCTTTGCCATGACCGATAAAGAATTTCGTTCTTTTTATTTTGAGGGTTGCTATAGATTTCGTGCTTGTGGGGGGTGTTGGAGATCTTCTTTTCAAGCTGCCAGAGGAAATAAAAACGGACTCTCTGTTTCGACACGCCCATACAGACCCGCAGGCCTGGGTAGAGTGTGAGAAAATGCTCTGACCTTCCACCTCAGCTGTACTGGGAAAGGGTAGTGGGAATGGGGCACATTTGTCTTTTCACATCTTCCTTTTGTACATCTGTAACGTATTTGAGCATCGAAACGAAAGAGGAAAAGGCGCTCGCACAAACTGCAGGACAGAAATACTGAGTGTAAAGAAAAACAATCTGAAACATGGTTCTCTTTTTTCCCTGACACAAATTAAACTTGGAGTTGGATATAGCTTCAAATGTGTAGAAAATCTCAATACACGGATACATTCTACTAGAATGTTGAGTGCTTGAATGTTTATTTTTCCCCTCAGATGTTGGATTATGGCTTAAACCCCTGCAAGCAGAATACTTCAGAGATGAGTATGGAACAAAGTAAGGTTGTACGTTACTTGCAACTGCAAATAAAGCAGGGAGAAGTGCTAGTATGTGGACCATGTGGCCCATCTAGCCTGTTGGGTATTCATGGGCTAATTGATCTGAGAATGTCATGTAGCCACTTTTCACTATCGTCTTTAACAACGTGACTGGGTAATTTGCTCAAGACTCCCATGACCCTCTGTGTAAGAAGCTGCATTTCTTTTAAGAAAGGGATAGATCTAAAATGTCCCACGTATAACAAAGACCAACGTAAGTGAGGACTTAGATTTTTTTATTGACAAAAAGAGGACAAAAGAGGACAGTGATCATGACTGTGCAGTCAAACTGAAATTTCTGATATTTTGATGGAATGCTCTTGTATGATATTTTCGGGCTGATATCCATTTCAGTCCTTACAGTGCATTCTGTTTCAATTATTCTCAATATGCAAACCTTTACTTGTATAAATAAAAAACAATCATCCCGCAGAATGCCAAAAAATCAAAAATAATGCACACATGTGTATGTGTTCTCCGATTAGATTAGATTATATATTTAACCTGTAATTATAGTGTAAACACACTGGACATTAAGTGCCCAGAGAATGCACCAGCTCTTTATTAATCTAGAGATGTGAGCAAGAACATCAGTCCGATCAGTTGCACATGGTGGACAGTCACACATGCAGAATGGGAACCAGCTCCAGTTCCACGCTGATGCTGTCAAGTCCAGTCCATGTTGGCTGGAAGTGGAAGCTGCAGGATTCAGATTGAGCTTACATACTGTACTTCTACCCTTGAACTAAAGCACGTCCTCCAGTGTTTCCAGAAACACAGCTTGTCCAGAGCTCTTAGTGTCGATTATGTCGATTGAAAGTGGAGTTATTTTCCTGTGCCATTTGATTCAACCAGTAGTTTTGTGGGATTACTAACTTCTTGTCTTTGTATCTGTTCCTCAGTGCTGCATTATAATTGTATGACAGTCTCCAATAAATTGTAAAGCGTACTTTTTTTACTTTTTGAACATATAGTATATATACCTAACATGTATACCTAACATTTACATATTCCTCTCAATATTTACACCATTTCAGTTTGTCCTAATATTTCCCATTATCCCCAAATCTCAAAGTCTTTCTATCTTATTACATCCTCAACATCCTATTGACTTTTGAATTTATATTAAATATAATTTAAGGTTTTTAAACTATTTGGTTTTCTTTTCAGCTTCCTCGGTGTGCTTTTATTTAACTGAAAAATGTTTCCCTTTAATATCCTTTCAGGTACTACAGTATGTCAATTAATTAATACTTACAAAAAGTCTTCTAAAAATTACCAAAACAAAGTACAGTTGTCCTTTCCTACAAGCACTTAGATATTTTTAGTCACCTTAACTTTAAATCACATTGCTATTGCTGTCAGGTATGTTTTTTTGATACAGTTCTAACTTTTATTTTTAAATAGTACATCGTGTTCTGCATCCTCACACAGGGATCTATGGATAAGCATTATTGATAGCTTTTGTCAATTTCTGAAAATGTGATCAAAGCCACCGTTTCTGTCTACAGAAGGCCATACTTTCGTTTCACAGTGTGTCACATTATGTTCCTTAGTGGAAATCTTAATCATTTCCCTCTCCGTGTTCAAGAAGTTGTGTGTACATCCTCATTTTTATCAGCTTGTCAAATACTTTTCTCTGTTCACTGTAATTGTTTTGTTTTAAACTAATCATAAAATGAATTTTATCTTCTGTTTTTGTCTTGCTTGGAACTTTAAGGGCTGGATTAGTTTAATTGATACCTCAGTAGGAATCATGAACAGAATGCTGTATGGTATTGAAGGACTCTACAGGAGGACCTTGAGGTGGAAACTCTGATCCACAGGGAACAGTGCCACTTACTGGTCTGTCTGCACCATTACAGCCCAAACCTGGTGTTACCTTCCCAAACTAGGACCAGCATTGCTTAGTTTCTGAGATCAGATGAGATCAGACTAGCACATCAGCCCCTTGCACTGGGAGGAGGCTGGCACAGTGCCTGATTTAGACCTGAACCGAGTCCCAAAATATATCATAGCTGTGTATATGTATCTTTTATTCTGTAAATAAAAAAACCCTTTGTCCTGATCTGTTTTGGAAAGCAGTGCCTTTCCAAGTTCAGGTTGTTAAATGTCTTATTGTGCTTTGTTGGACTGTGCTGTCAAACCTCCAGTTTTTAAAGACAGGTGAACGTAGTCATTAGACTCAATTTATTTCTGTTCTTTTCTTTTGTATTTCACTGTATGTGCGTAGCTATGTGGTGTTTAGCTCATGTTGACTCCTTTTGAAATTGTCTTCTCATTAACTTTTGACTAGTATTCCCTTTATACCACTGATATATTGATATACAGAATTGTGATCTGCTCCAAAATGTAGATTGCTATGAAAAAGACTTTGACATCTCAGGCTGGTCAGAAATGACAACGTACAGTGTGTCAGCATCCACAGTTCACTCAAAGTTTCCACTGAAGATTTCTGTTTTCGTAACATCTTTAACTGTTATTGATAATGCTTGTCTTTTAGCAACCTTTAGTTTACATTGACTAGAATCTTCGGGAGGTAAACTATATATAACACCACTGTAAAATGACGGTGTAGTTAATCCTTCACATTCACCTGTTAACTGGCCCCATTATCTGGAGCTTTTAACACAATGTATTGCTCTTGAAACCTCAGTTAAGTTAAATGGTGTCTTTTTTAGACCTAGTTTAAAACAAAACGTTTAACATGTTTGTTTTGGTGTAGAGTATAACATTGAGCAAAAAAAAAAACAACAGTATGAAATATCTAAGAATTTAGTATATGTCTGTATAACTGAGATCATTGTTAATATGGCAATAGATAGAAACGAATTCTCTAAGTAGTAAAAGTGTTAGTAATACAACGACATAAATTAATGGCATCAGCAAGAGATAACGTTTTCTTGGTCGCAGATTAAAAAGGAATTCTTTTGAGACTCCGTAAGACTACTACAGTACATATGGCTGTAATGACAAAATACATCCGCAAGATGGCGCGATTTAAACATTTTTATGAAAAGGGAGAAAACTGAAGGAAGTAAAATATGGGACAATGGAATATGGTAGAATAAGGGTAGAGTCCCGAATGTGATCCTTGAGGTGACATTTCGTATTAAAACTTGTAGAGGTGTGACTGCCGTAAAATCGTTTTCTATCAATCAGTGGGTTTTCGCAACTGTATGCAGTGCGGAGAGCAAAATTATAATCATTCAGAAGAAATAAGCAGGTATGAATTTTGTTTTTAACTTAAATTTATCACAAATACTCAAACTGTACATTGCATAAATCTAGGATTAATACTTCGTATGATCCGTCATGTTCTGTAATTTTTATTTTTATTTGACAAGATATACTAAAAACACTTAAAAACGCTAGGAAACCTGCTAAATCATTGCAAAAATTGCAGAGTACGTAGGCCAGGATTATATTTTAATTTGATAAAGAAATAGATTAAAATATATATGAGTGATCATTCTACATTTATGCGGAACATCTGCACGCTTCCCCTCCAAATACAAAACACAGCTGGCAGAAAAGACAGATTAGTTTCATTTTTACAGGGCGAGTACAGGTACATTTTACCATAGCTGATGAGGCTCTCCGTTCATCTGTGAAAATATTTTGCGTTAATCCGGAAAACCTTCACCGAGATCATTGCATTGATTCAAAACACATCAGTACAGAAGGATGCTCACTGGTGGTGGATGTACAGTATGTTAACCACTGGACAACCATCGGATCAGACCGATCTACATCTGCGCCTTAACCATCGGTCTGTCTGACTGCCTGCGCGCCCACATTTGTCAGACTCTTAAAAACGATTACATATTAAGATAAGTATGTCTTACACACTGTGGGCTCTTTTCATTTTAAGAAACGGGCAAATCCGAAAAAGAATCCAGCGACGTTTTTGCTTTGTATTCTAGCGTTAAAGGAGGTGAAATAAGTATTGTTTTAAATACATTTGTTTGATAGGGATTTTCAAATCTATACTTGTGTTGGGAAACCCTGCCAGTGCCCTGGCAAGACAGATTGTGTTTTTTTTTTGTATTGTTCAATTTAAATTATACTTCAATACTAGTCTCTCTAAAACCTTTCATACTCGTCTTTCAGTTTAATTGTTTAGCCTACCTTGGCCACTTGTGTTGAAAATGATATACAAACATTTAGCTTCAAGAGCCTTTAAAGGGTTTTTAGTCATAATGTACATTTTTTTCCGGGTAAAATAAGATGAACAGATGGGGCTTTTAGAGGACTTGAACGGCGCACTGTATATGTTAGATATTTCTCCCCGCGGTGCTTTCCTGTACGGTCCCTGGTTTCGATAGCGCTCGGGGTTTCAAAGGCAGACGACCAGAAGACTCTCCTTGAATGTCAATGTAAACACGTGGTAAAGGCGGCATTGATAGAAGAAAATGACGTGTTTTTGCAGAACTAGAGGTCCTCACGAAAGAATATCAGGTCTACATTTAAACACGACTGCCCCCCCTCCCCAAAAAGGCAACGTATTGAAACGTCGATCAAGACTGTCCGGACGGAATTTTCCCAGGTGGCTGATATCAGTCGTAGGCAATACTGTGGGTCTTTTAGATGAAGCCGACTTTGTGAGCTGGCACATCTGAGCCTCCGAGAGACAGCCTGCTTGAAGAAGCTGTAGTCGTGAACCTCGTGTTTTTATCTTATACTGTGTACAGGTGAAAGAGGGGGCATGGGAATTGGGAACATAGCTGTTGCGATAAAACCAGATGTCTGTATCAGAAACCGATTTCTACTGCATCAGACTGTGTATTATTCTTCTTGTTCTTGTTCTTGTTCTTGTTCTTCTTGTTCTTCTTGTTCTTCTTGTTCTTCTTGTTCTTCTTGTTCTTCTTCTTCTTCTTCTTCTTCTTCTTCTTCTTCTTCTTCTTCTTCTTCTTCTTCTTCTTCTTCTTAATGTTATTGTTATCGATGTTGTTGTTTATGTAGGCCTAAGCATGAACCAGGTTTACAACAACATAATGCTGAGCGTGATTGCGAACATATGGGCTTATTATAAAATGTAAGAGGCTTTTTACAGTAACCAAGTTTACTTAATTTAAAAAATTCAAATCCGCGGTTATTATTTATATATTTATATGATTCTGTAGGAAAAATGATATGGTGGACGTGGCGCCCTTACATCCAAATATTAAAACTTAGCCGATTAAATTCGACTTTGATCTTGGCTACTTCCTAAATAAACCGATTTAACTTCCCTCATATAATTTGAACCCTAATATTCCGAACTGAAACTATGCTAACGTACGAAACGAACGAAAACAGCTCAATTAAACGCATGTTAAAGAGTTTTCAGTGGTTCCCTAATATGCAATTTGCCGATATAGTCACAGGCCCGGGCCTTTGGATACGCATGTAAATTCCCAATGCAGTAGTTAACTCGATATGAAAAGTTGACTGAATAGCTTGTAACATTTTTGGTGTTGCGCGTCGATTTCAAATATTGCCTTTGGATAAAAAAAAATATTACCTTTGAACCAATGTATGCAATTTAACCTTGTTAACCAGTATTGTTTTTATGTGTCTCCAGTCGGTGACAGAACATTAACTTCTATAAATTAAACTAACTATATTTAAAAAAAAACCATTTAGAAGCACATTAAATTTTTGTGGCGACAACAGCGGTTCAGAAAGGAACGGTCTCTAAGTGAGGTGAGAACCCATTTCTTCAAACCGCAAATGAGCTCGCCATCGTGTTTACTTTGGTGGGAACCAGCTAGTTTACGCTTTAGATCTTTATTTATTCTTATTTTCTATTTCACTGTATATCGTGAAGCAACCAATTTGATACGGGTATAATTTTCTTAAAGCTTAATGCAAGTGACTTCCACACAATTATTTAAAATATTAAATTTATTGAAATACTTTACATCAGGAATATTTTGGCAGACTTGGAGGGTAGGATATACAATAAGTGCAAAATATGTCCACAATAATATTTTAAAAAAGCTTTGTGTAGGCCTAAGTGTATATTTTTATACCTTCGAATATAGTTCACGTAACAAATCTTTGGCACAAAACATAACTTTGAAATTAAACATGATATACATCGAAAACTTCTTTAAAAGAAGCATACAAATTTTCGTCAACAGCATTAATAAAATAAGAAGTACTGTAACGTGAAGTGGTCCGTTGACAAAGAGCGTTGTAAGTTTTTACTTTCCCTTGTTTTTTAAATGGCTTTGTAGTGCTTCGTTTTTGCTAGTTAAACTAAACCGTGCTAGATTTTATTCGCATTCTTTCCAAAATGCCACTGTGTAAAGTTTGCACGCATTAATGCTCATATTAATTCAAAACATCTACAGGCTTTAATGTGGAAAGCCAAAGTTTAAATGTATTTTCAGAATAAAGCCCTACTCCTCAAGTGTACTAAGCGTAATTAAAGCCATTCTGCTTTCACCTGAACATAGAGCTCCGACCGGAATTCGTTTTCCCTCAGCTTTCATTCAAAAGCGTGGGTGTGAAGACGTGACTATTGTCAAATGGAGGAAGTCTTAAACTATAATACACCTTCCGTGCCCACGAAACCACACTGAGGAACTTTCCGCAGATGGACAATGAGGCGGGGTGGGTCAGAGAACGGAATGCCCGTATCACCAACGTCTCTTTTTCACATGACACAAGGTTTGATGTCCTGGCAGACGGTTTGATGGTGGTGGTGGTGATGATGGTGGTGGTAGTAAGATCCACTGGCCGATGGGTGGAATGAGGAGATCCCGTTAAAGTTCAAAACAAAATCCTTCCTGTCGCACACCGGCGAAGAATGGGTTTGGTATCGAGGTATTCCCACTGCAGATACAAATGGAAGAGGTGTCACAATAGCAGCACAATTAAGACAATTCCAGTTCTGAAACGCATGTCTTTTATTCGCTTTCCTAGAGAGATTTTCTCAAATCACTGAGTTAACTTCCTAGAGAGGAAAATGCAACCTTGTGTAGGGGGTTTTGAAAATTCAGCATAGCTAGAAATTACTCTGATGCTTGTTACTTATTGAGTGTTTTTTTATTGATGAATGTGACATCCATTATTTGAAATAGCATTTTAAGAAGACGCTGTGGATTCCCTCATTAGTTCCTACGTGACTACATAAAATGCTGGACAAAACAAAGAAAAAACATTTTTATCATAACTAGAGAAAACAAGGAGTCGTGGCTTAATTTGTACGTGCTGTGTTTTTTTTTCCTGAACGGTCAAATTAACTGTGAATTTCTTTAAAAGTTAATGACCTGAAGTGAAATGTAGAAATGTTTTTTTTTAAGAACTAGTGTAGGCGCTCTAGTGCGCGGTCTTCTCTGAGAAATTACTGACGAAATATAAAGGGCTTTAGTGCTCGTTGCTGTTTTTATCATGATAATCACAGCAGCATGACATTATCAGATAATAAAAACGTGCAACACAGGTCTCTGATGTGTTGTTATTCATTCTTAAGTAACTTAGGGAAAGATTTAAAAAAACTGACGTTCGGCATTTTATTGTGGACTTGACGGCTAAAACAAAAACACTCAGAACCGCAGCTTTCTGCGATGTCCAGCGGATAACCCGAAGTACTATCTTTAAACTTGAGTTGCGTATTTTTGGAAAACACGAAACCAACGCTGTAAAACGCCGTTGTTTATTATTTTGAGTGTATTTCCATTTACCCTGTCGGGGCTAAGTAAATATTGTATAGGTAATGTCAACGGCAACGTGGAGGAAACAGATTGAGAATCGGATCCGCTGCTTCCATCTCTGTGTTCACATACAGTATGGATCTTTCTCCTGTTCGTTTCATGTCTACTAACATGCTCACTTTTCCGTAGTCTATTCATGTTGCAAATTTAACTGGGTAAAAACAAAAATATGATACTTAAATTCAGGCCTTCTAGTTAAGTGGTTACTTTATGAAGCATACTACAGCTTCTTTTTGAGCAGAATGTACAGTCCAGAGAGGGTTGCTATCTTGCCTCACGCTTTAGGATTTAGAAAACATCAGCTTGAATTCGGAGTGAATGACAAGGTACTATTCCGCCGCAAAACGTCCTTGTACAGCTAGCTAATCGTTAGAGATTGTTGCCGTTCACATAACTTTTAACAAGGCCCAACTGTCCCGTGGGCTTGTAGCGCCTGAGATCCTTCCCAGTGTGGTCTTGCTCAGACCGTCTTTGTTTAGTTAACCTCGTCGACCTGTGTTTTAAAAGGATGTTTGGAAAGTCATGCCGAAAAGATCTCTTTTATATACACATCGTGCATACATTAATGAAAAGAATGCAGCAATGTAGCCTGATGAAAAGAGTCATCAAAAACGTTTCCTGTAAATTCATACATTCAAATGCAGTAGATGTAAGAGATTAAAATAAAAACTTGACTGTTGGTGGGAGAAAAGACAACGCACTCATCGCTGGCTATTCAAATCTTTAAAACAAGAGAGGCGTTTCCTTATAATGTCTTCTGAAAAAAAATGTTATGTGCAATTTACTCAGCAGAACTACAAGGTCAATTGGCCACCAAGAAAATTAAATTAAGCAAATCAATCAGTCGACAAATAACATCTTGATGGCGCATTGAAATGCTCTCTATTAATTGACGCATTTAATGTATTGGTACTGGCATTACGGTTCATTATCATCTAAAATATTCCAGCACCAATATTAATAATTGTACCTTTGTATAATAAGAACTAATTTATTAATATTCAGGACCACTTCACTAGCTTTGCTGGAAAAAATAAAAAGCGAGAAGCCTGGATTTTAGGAGCGAATTCATACTGAGATTTTAATTTAACTCAGATTTGCCTTGCCAAAGGTTTCCTGTCAAATCTGTCCGTTAGTGGGAAACTTTTTGTGAAAGTGTAAACGTACTAGAATGAGAAAATCGATTTTAATCACTCTGGTGAGATAAAAAAAAGGACCAGAATCGCATCGGTACAGGAAGACTCAAGCCGTTATAACAGTTAAAACGTGTCTGTACTGTACGCTTTATATCCGAGGAAAATGTTCAGCATATAAAGAGGGGCTTTACCTGAAATGTCAGCCGCTTCCCTGGCGTTTTGATGAAGATAGCTTTGTTCCAGGGAGTAGGAAGACATGCTTGAATGTAAACTGGAAGACGTCGGGTTGCTGGAAGCCAGGGTTTGCTGCTTAATGTACGGCGAGCCCCCCGGCGAAGCCCAGTGTGTAGACGTACTCGCGTAGGGCGAGTGGCACTCCAGGGCACTGGCCATCGCGGGTGAGGAGGGCACGGGGCTGCTGCTGTTTTCAGGGCCGTAGTCTCCGTTAGCCGTCACTGGGCAGCTCGCCATGTACGTGGACCCGGGGCTGGGGGACATGTGGGTGACATGGTGTCCGCCGCCGAGCCCCTCGTAGCTCCCGGCCATGGAATTAGTCATCATGTCTAGGTTGTAGCCGTTGGTGTGGCATGCCAGAGAGGCCGAGGGCGCCTGGAAATCGAAGCTCTGCGGCAGTATCGAAGCGCCAAATCCGATGCCATTCATCATCCGGTACATGGGCTTTAAGGCTTGGCACTTTCTCCGGAATCCCCTGGGTCGGCGCCGAAAGGAGCCTTCCTCGAACATGAACTCGCTCGCTGGATCGATGGTCCAGTAGTGCCCCTTGCCGGGCCGGCCCAGGCCCTTGGGCAGTTTGATGAAGCACTCGTTCAACGACAGGTTGTGACGGACGGAGTTCTTCCAGCCCTGGTAGGATCCTCGGAAGAAGGGGAACCGCGCCTGGAGGAACTGGTAGATCTCGCTGAGCGTCAGCCGCTTGGTGGGCGAGCTCTGGATCGCCATGACGATGAGGGCGATGTACGAGTACGGGGGCTTCTCGGGGCGCCTGAGTCCCGAGCTGGCTTTTTTACCTTTGGAAGAGGCTGTCGCGCTGTCCACGGCGGACTGTGTGCTCATGAGGGCGGAATGCAGGACGCCCGAGGCCGGGCTCGATCTTAAAGGCGGCGGCGGATCCAGTTGCTGCTGTGGAGTTTCAGTCGTCATTTCTACCGCTAGACTAAACGGCTCTGGAAAGCAACACGAGAAAATGTGGAGTTAACGGAGAGCGGAAAAAAAAAAACCCAGCAACAACAACAACAGCGGCAGAGCGACTCTTTTCTGACGGTCCCTTCAGAAGATATGCCTTATTGATCTCCACTTGACCGCTGGGACATGTCTTCCGCTGAAAAGGAAGATAAAATGAAATATCTCCCCTGAAGTCCGACGCCGTGGGGAAAAAAAAAAGAAGATTTTTAGCTACGAGCCGTAAAGGCTCGAAAGAGAGAGCTCGATTCAAGTTTAAAGTAGAGTTTCCAAGACTTTACTGATTAATAGCTGTGCTGCAGAGTGATTTTCTGTGCGCTGCCCTAGTTTAGTCCGTAATAGCAGTTCTGTGTCGCCGGGACTGAAGCACGTCTCCCCACCTGGTGGCCATCACTCTCCTTAATCCTTTAAGAAGAGGAAACGCAGAGCTCCTCCACTTTTTGCGTAAGTCTGCTCAGCCAAACAAAACGCGACCACCTATCAATTTGAAAATCTTGCCTTTAAACCCCCCCCTCCAAATCCCTCCAAGAAATCAGCAGCGGCTAGCGACCACCTCCCTCCCCTCTCTGGCTCTTGTCCAGTGATCATCTGAGCAGGAGGTGCTGCTGCACCACCAGGGCCCTTTACGAGCTGACATCCCTAATACACGCAATTACACCATTTATCAAACCTCCTTCAGACGTTCCAATCAACACAGCCACTCGCCAAAAGCCGAAGGTAAAGCTCACAAATTCTTCCCGCTTGCATGCTGCGCAGCCTTTCGCCGTGAGATTTAGCTTGAGATGACATTATATACATCTCCAGAACCTTACAGCAGGCATTGCTATTAGTGGTTTGAGACCGTGTCTGTCTCCAAAAAGTGATGTACTTTTAGGCTAGGCTAAGCGAAGCGCAGGACGGAGCGCGCACACTTTCTTTGGCGTTGACCGTGTAGGGCATCATTTGGTTGTGAACTGTAAGGGAGCACTGCTGGGGTTTGGAGTCGGCATACTCCGCCCTAATACGAGCCACCCAAGAGCAGTACCGAGGAGTTCGGATCCGTGAGCAACTTGGTTCTGTTCACCAGAGCGGAGCCCGGGGGAGCGGAGTCGGTGAAGGGCGCTCTTTGCCGAGTGTGTATACATATGCATGTTGGGGGTTGTTCTGGGTAAATGGCTCTGACATGAGTGGAAGCAGGCTTTTTCCATCAACTGCTGCCTGGATACCACACACAGAGCCCAAGTGTCAGCTTACTGCCCCGAGCCTGGCTCTGATCCCCTGAGCTCCACATTAATTAGAGAAAGAAAACCGAAATTAACCGAGCAGGCGTCGACAGCTTCCTCCTCAGTGTAGACACAGCATAAATAGAGTTTTAGTGAACAAGCATATGGAATAATAATAATAATAATAATAATAATAATAATAATAATAATAATAATAATAATCAGTTTGATACCCAAGACAGGATTCAAATGAGTCGCTTAACTGGACTGACGCTAATTTTAAACCTGATTGCTTACTTGTACCGTTATAACGTACACAACAACGGGATCCGTCTGGCGGTTTCTAGACAAATACACAGCGAGACAGAAAAGCTGATGAACAGTTCACGTTTTAGCTAGATCGATGATTTAGGGGGTCATTTCGAGGTTCGCAACTTGAAAACAAATACACGACAAAACATAAATCTAAAAAGCTACAACATTTTAGGGAGCTGTTTTCGTCAGATCGCATACACCGAAAATCGAGTTATTTGACAATTGCTCAATTTTTTTTTTATTTTGTGCGGTTAGCTTTGTCTTCTGTTATTGGAGATTCCGGTTAAATTCGTTGTTTAAGAAAAATAAGCTGTAAAAGGTGTTTAAGACCAAGATGACTGTATGAAAAAGTATTGTTGTGTAAAACGGATTTAAACGAAAATGACGACGGCAATTGCATTTCATAGATAATTAGATTTTACCGCAGTTCTTTATGTACTTTAATTTACTAAGCTTATGGATTCCTAAAACTTTGCCAAAATCCTGTTTATTGGTTGGCTTAGCGTTAGCTATATAACATACTGCGAAACTGATTTAAATATGTCTTAAATACACTATTGTTCTGTTTCTGCGGCTCAGACTAAAATTTATAAATCGAGTTTGTCTCCAGTTTTCCCTTCAGAAGCGGAACTTTCAACTGATAATATCTGATTTTAGTAATAGTCAGACAAAACATAAACAATATGGGGTTTGACCGGTGACCTTGGACCCGCGTATATGTTCAGAACTGTTATTCCAAAGTGGAACAAACACACCTAAAGGGTCTGTTTGAAAGAGTCTGGGCTTAAAACAGCAAGAAATACAGGCGAGCTGTACCAGCTACTGACAGTCCGAGCCGTTGTTGACTGATGATCAGTAAAATGGCTATAGTAATAACAGTAATAATGGTCATAATGACCACCCAAGCATCTTAATAGTCAGTGACGTAAGAAAACACTCGACCCAAATAAAGATTGGGAAAGAAGAGTACGCTACGATACTGCCATTAAATGTTGGTGCTATCGCAACAGTTTATTATTGTCATTATTTTATTTTAATTATTATTATTGGTGAATCGGGAAAAAATGCTCGACTGTACTAATTGCTTCAAGAAAACACAATATATATATATATTCGGGGATTCCTTCTCCATTGGGCTCAAAAAGCTTCCGAAGCACAGCAGTCTTGAAGAAATATGTATATAAAGGTGAAGAAATGGAACAGTACAATTACGCAGTTCACCTTTGCAATACATATTTTAAAGATATGTAGCGCTTTTTCAATTCATCTTGGTGGAAGCCTGCATAACTTTGTGTGCGTGGTCTTGTAATCAAAAACCTGAAGGCAGTGGTTAACACGATTTAAACAACGAGTTAAGAAACATGCCGGAATTGAAAGTATTCTGTAAAACACGCTAGATGTTTTCTAGCATTATAATCTTACGTAAGGCGACCATAACCCCCTTTTCCCCGGTATGTTAATTTGATGGTGATCTTTTTAAAACAAAAAACAAACAGGGTTGGGACCTTTAACCCTACTTATCGACATACTTTTACACTTTAAAAGAAGATGGGTGTACAGATTAATCCATTCTCTAGCACAACAAAAAGAACTCTGAAGTAGTCTCCGCAGAATTTCCTCTAATTATCCTGTAGGTTTCAGGATACTTCGACTTCAAAAAAGAGACTTCAGTCTGCTCCAGAATAATGCTTTGAAGGCATTAAACCGGTCTCTCAGAATGTTCTTCTATCGTTCGTGTTATTATAGTTTATGATTTATATTTATGATGACTTGTGTGGTACTCTTTTCCCCGTGCCATTTTAAAATGAGCACCCTTGCCGTCGTCACTACAACCTAAAAACTGAGCTCACAAAAGACAGCCCATATATGGTCGCCTTATCCGGTGTTTGTCAGGTGCGAAAAATAAGACTGCTGAAATGAGGCAATTCATTTCCCGACATTTCCCTTACATAGTGTTTCAAAAATACTCTTCATTTGAATGTTATTGGTGTGATATGTCTTAATGAACCTGTTATTATATATTTTATGCTCTAAAATATGTTTTTTAATTTTTTTTAAAAGACAAGAATTGTTAACAAACGACACCGGAAATTTGTCTCAGAACCTTTCCTGCCGGCTATTTTATTTTTGCATTGTTTCTAACGCACAATGTATGCTCACCAGGGCTTTAGCGGCAATCACTCCTGTATCAAAGCTCAAGACTACTTTTCTTCGTCTTTCCGTCTTCTGTAGTTACTTCTGCTGCAGCTCTCCGAAACACAAAGAAGCGAGTGCGCAAACGACAGAGTCTGAAACCCTCTTTATGAAAACAAATGAATCCGTCTTTTTATTTCCTTTATTTCAGCGGTTTGGAAACGCTGACGTTGTTTCCCTGGTGTTTAGAATCGCGCTATAAACACTGCGTTTTTTTTTAAATAAAAGAATGATTAGCCAAAGCAAGTCGGAGATTTCTTACTGAACTACTGCGTGAAACTTAATTGACCCTTGGTATTGAGGAGTACCCACTATTGCAAGCGTTCAAGTGCAGACAGACATTTGGCTTCACTGCGGCTTACGTCGAGGTTTTGTGTGGAGCTGACTACAATTAAAATAAATAAAGTAGATTTAATCCAGTGTTTTAAATATTTCCATCTGTTCCATTATAGCATTAAATATATGTAGCTTAATAAATGCCTGAAGGAAAGCACTATATAAACAGAGTGTGACAACCACAGAATCGTTCATATCTCCAATGTTAATACAACTTGGAAAGGGACATTTATGTGTCTCTATCAACCAACAACACGACAATTTCGAGTGTGGATCTGAAAAAGGACAAGCAGGAGTTAATCCCACGATGGGTAGCACAGAGAAGAAAAAACACGACGTTTCAGACTGGGGTCCTGCCTCAGGTGGTTTCACGCTGGATTCCAGACTATAACATAGAAAGAGAGAAACAACTTTCTTCAGGAGGCTTCACGCATAGATCCCCACAAGCGAAACGTTGGGGTTTCCTCCGTTTCTTTCAGCTTTTCGGCATGGAATTTACCTCTACGTTCTTAATATCGCGATTTGTTTTTAGAAAAGTTACAGTAGTGTGTGTTACCGCGGCACTTGAACTAATAAAATACAGTACGTTCTTCTGCTGAGTAATACCTGGGAAGTCGTGCTGTCCGAGCTTGAACACACTATTGTTTAAGGCAAAATGTTATTGGAAAATTAAGAATCTTATGGACTATGAAACGTATTTTTCTATGCTTTTAATTAAAACGTCAAGCTTTTTTATTACTACAAGCATAACAAATATATTTTTACGTTTTTAGTGTACCATGTTAAATACAGTTTTATAGTCCTTTTTAAGAATACATATTCATATGTGAGCGAATCGATGACTGATTGCTCCTGTCAGTTTTTAACTATTAGTATTCAGCTTGTAGTAGTAAGGGTGATGGTACCGATGGGAGGTGACAGCATGTTTAATTACCGAATGTTTCTGTTGAAAACGTGCCCTATGACAGTTGTTAGGGGACAATCAAGAAATCACCGAGAACCGTGGACAGAGTAAACTCTTGTTTAATTAATTAATAAGGAGCTTAAATGAAATCTCCCGTTTTAACGAAAAAAACCCAAACACCTCTTCCAGTTATATTTTCATTAACGGTGCGCTTAACTGGATTTTCCTCTTTTGTCAGAAGCTCTTTTCCCCGGCCTACACAATGCAGTCCCGTGCCATTTTAAAATAAGCAACCTTGCCGTCGTCACTACAACCTAAAAACTGAGCTCACAAAAGACAGCCCACACAGGGGAGCCTTATCCGGTGTTTGTCAGGTGCGAAAAAATATTTTTTTTAAAAAATAAAAAAAACGGATCAAACTGATGCTTACGGTGAATGGTTTCGAATAGCCGTCGGGGATGGGATTAAAATGTCAATTTCAAAAACGTTCGTTTTAAAAAGTTGTAAATTGTAAGTTGTAACTAAGGCAGTTGTAAATGCCAGTTCAAAGTAACAATTACCATTTCAGGATTTCATAACCTAGAAAGTTACTTTTTTAAAATAGAGCCTTTGTATCATTTATGAGATCAGACAACTATCTTATATACTCTAGATCCTAGGCCTTTCGTGCATTTGCCTAGAACTTCAATTTTGGTGGTCTAACAGATGAAAACAGATTAAATTGATTGAAAGCGATTTGTGACTCTTTTCTCCCGTTTTTGTAAAAATCTGTGAAACCTTCCTTCATAACTTGTCTGAAAAAAAATAATCAAGGGTGTTTTACAGGTGAATCCCGTGTACTTATCTTTCTCTTCTGGCTATTTAACCACAGTTTGAAAAGATAAAATAAACAATACTAACTTTAATATTTCACATTTTAAATGAGGGATTATTTGCATGAGGAAAAGGACTGACCAGTGGGGAATACTTTTCCACGTGATTATTTTTTGCAAGAAGATCTAATCCTTAAGAATAAAAAAATGTATTTTTGAACGGTTTTTAAAGTTTTACTAAAAACAAACATCTACGAGACAAGGACAAAAAACGAGTGTTTACATTGACTCTATCGCTGTTAAAGAAAGAAGCGCCCTATTAACTGTCCGAATTAATGTTATTAATTTAATGTGATTATCAATTATATTTATTACCAGTGGTGCAGCTAGGTTTGGTGTGGTTCATTCCTTTGATTTTTAAAGTATACAAATGGTTGTTAACCACATAACGACCGCTCTGACTTTTATGTTTAAATTTTCAAATATTGTTAAAAGATATCGGATATTGCATTTCAAGGTGTCATATTCGTCATTCATACAGCTTACCTGTAGGTCGCAGCATTGGCCTTAAAATAGCTGTAAATTCACTCCACCTTTTACCTGGGGATGTTGTAAATCACATCTCACAGACCCGTTGGAAACTTGTGGCGATAAGTACGCTCTGATTAAAATTCAGTTTTCTCATATAATTTTTCCATGGTGAAGAATTGAGTTTTGTTCTGAAGAACAGCTTCACTGATAACAGCATGTAATAATTGTGCTTAAGAACAGCTCTGCTTAATAAGAAGCAAACGAAGAAACGGTAGATTAAAGAATGGATTCATGCAGGTTTAAAAAAGATAAGAACCTTGATTAAGAACAAATATTTAGAGATCAAGTGTAAGGAACGCTGAAGAATACTGACCTACTATAGTGGTTTATCTTGAGGTTGACCACAGTTCAATTTTTAAGCCAGGTACAGGTCTACATACTGTATAGTATTTGCTACGTTGCAGACCAGTGTTTTCTAACGTATAGGTTCATTTAGCCAGATTGTACTATTGTGTATTGGCAAGTATGAATTCATCCTGTGTTTAAAAGGACCTTAAAGCTCAGTTTTACGAAATAAATGAGTACATTTGCCGCGAATATCTTCTGTGTTTCCTCATTCATCATTTGGGATTTAGACAAAGCAATCGGTTCCATGGCCTTTATTAAATTATACTGACTTCAAAGACAGAATTCTGTATTTTCGCAGAAAAAGGGTTTATGTAGTCCTTAAAAAAACACCTACATGCTTAGGCACATTCAAATCAAGAATTCGATAACAGGGCTGTGAAAGCCAAAATAAATAGATGAGAAAAAACAAAGTCTCCCGGAAGCCCTTGGTCTCAGCACAATTAAAAGCAATGGTGAGGTCTGTTTTACATAAACCCCCGAACCGTAATCCAAATGGGGATGCGACAATAAAGACCTCTCCTGTAACAATGGCGGCATCACTGTTAAACAAATAACGTGGTGACGACACGTGAAGGGAAGGAGTCACCGTGTGACGTTTAGGATTGAATAACGGCGCGTAGGAAAATAAAATGACACTGACCAAATTAATGCACACCATGAGGAGTGAGGACAATCTTTAAAATGACTTCCTTCTGAAAATGTAATAAGGCTGACAGTTGTTAAAGAAACTTTGTTACGCAGTTTCTCTGGTTATAATAATTCGAATAAATAAATGCGCTTGATTCCGGAAAATCAGAAACGGTAGTCCTGCATAATTTCGCAAGGATTAAGAACCTTAAACTCGTTATCAGCCCGTTTTATAGTTTTAAATATTTTTTTCAGGATTCCAATTCACAGAGATTTTTTTTGTATGAAAGATACTATCATTCTAAGACCTAATCAAATATATTTGAGGAGATATATACCTGACCAGTAGATTTATTTTTAATTTATAGTGAGGGGGGATCTTTCTTGCTGCTAAATTACGGTATATTTCAACTATACAAATGATTTATAGATAAAATACGAACTTATTATTTCAATGTTGAAAGATAAACAAGATCCGCATTTTACATTAGCCAACCTGTCTCACCTTGATACTGTTTATTTTACTTAATGTCAAGAATACCCAGCGCGCCTTATGTGCGTCTCTAATCTATTCCTGAAAGGATTTACCGTAAAAATTACACATACTGTAAATGTTTGGTATGTCAAGGGTAGTATTCAGTTTGGTAGGCATCACAATAAAGGCAGTTAACGAAAAAGTACGTAAAAAATGTTCAATCAAATATATTGATATTAAGACCTTTTTATACTTGTTATACTTAGAACACCTAAACCTGCTTATTTTATTCGAATTAGATTAGCTAAAGATTAGCTACGATAATTTAAAACCCTGTTGCTTAATAGCAATAGGCAAACGGGACCGTGTTTCCTCCCTTAATTATCTTCAAAAAACAAATCTAAACCGTACTCTGCTTGTTTCGTTGAGGGTCGCGGCAACTCGGAGTCTACCCCGAACGTGTGAAGGCTGGACTACAGCTTGGATTGGGCTCCGCCGCTGGACACACGTACGGAAACACACGTCTTTGGAAGGCGGACGTCAGAAACGCACTCAAACGCGTGGAGACCATGCAAACTCCCCACAGACAGGAGCTCCGCTCCACAATCAAAGCCAGTGCCCAAGAACTATGAAAGAGCTCCGGGTGAGGAAGCGGTCAGCACCGCTCTTGTTGCTTCTGTCAGAATGGTATATGAGTATATTAAAGAATTGAAATTATGAATAAAGAAGAGTGACTGTCATACACTGTAGTAGTAAATAAAACAATATAGTCTGGTACTAACATATAAAGAACCTCAGGCTCTAATCAAAGTGGTTTCTTTAACTCGGTATGGTCTTGTGAGGGAAACTATGGCTCTAAACCATGAGTATAATAGGAGCTGCCATCACACGTTATCACAGGATACTTTCGGTGGGGGACGTCAGTATTAAATCTTTTGTTATGTTTTTTATCTCCGTGCTCCGCCTTTGTTACGTGACTCCTGCATTATTTTTCGATCGTCCTATGTTTCAGGACCGTGGACAGCTCGTTGTAAGAAGCCGATATCAACTCCAAATACTTTCACTAAGAGGTGTACAATCGCTGCTTGGTCGCCTATGCCTGAAGCGGATTTCCTCTTGATCAAAACCACGCTGTTCTCTGGGGGCGGCTCGTATCAGCATCTCGCAAATGATCAGGTTTTGCTGCCTTCTTGCTTGACTTGCGACATAACAGAAGCGAACATCTTGCTTTTTTCGGTTTTCTGTTTTTCTCTCGCTAGTGGACATTTCTTCAGCTCTAAGAGTTTACGCAAAATGACAACATTTCCCTTAGATCCACGCGAGTGGAAAAACACGTTTGTTGCAAGCTAGAAAGTGTAAAGGTAACTGGATGAACACCCCTAGTTAACTAGTTATTTAGCTTCGGGTTTGGGTTTAGGACACAATGGGTACACAGTGAATGACTCTTACAGAAGCCAAGTTTTTATTCTGTGCCTCTAGAGGAAATCTGCGTTGCTGTGTGAATTATTGGATTCGTTTCACACAGATCTACACGACAAACAGGCTATTTCGCGGTTGTATACTCCGTTTTCGCGCGGGCTCACGACCTCTTATGACCTGTGAGCTCCGTGTTAGCAAAACAAATACCGCATAGAAGAAAGAAAAAGTCCAAAATGTGTCTTAAAAATAGGATTACTCTGGACGAATTGATACTTTTGCATTCTTTATTTTTTACTAGATCTACTACAATTACAACTACCAGAACAGTCGTGATAGTAGCTTGCCTGGCTAGGACAGTCATCCATAGTAATTGTAAGTTTTGGAATGCCTTTCTCAGCACCTGAATTGCAGGAGCAGGAGGATATGATGAATCATGCAGTCAAGAAAAGTGACTTGTGTAAGATGGCTGAAGAATCTTGAAGAACCAAGCTAAAACAGAGAGCTTTGCCATTTTTAAACGCAGGCGTCTAAGCACAGAGCTGGAAGATTGTGCAAGCAGCTGAGGTCTTTCATGGAGCTGAAGAATCACAATCAACACTTTTGTCTCCAGAGGTTCTGATACACAGGTTTTACATCAGGAAGAAGATGATACCTTGGAGTTTGCTGTTGATGATCTCATTCGTATGATGAAAGACATAGGGACCTCATGTAATGCTAATGATAAACATTAAAGCAAAGAAGAAAGATCTCTTCACTTAAAAAAGTGTATCAAAATGCTACGTTTGCTGATTTGAAAATGTCTTTTTTGTTTGTTGTTTAGTTTCAAGAAGAGTGCATTCAGTGGCTGGAGGAAGAATATAATCCCATATTAAATTTTTAACACTTAATGGTTCCATTATTTTAAAAATGAGACATTTTGACTTTGTAAATATGAACTAGTTTGTACAGGAATGGATTGAAAACAGGCCAACGATTTGAAAATTGTGTACCAAAGGTCAAATATAAGAAATGAATCATAATAAATTAGGAACAACAGTCTCTGCCATTGTCAGAATTACAGACTTGACACACAATTTATTTGCACTTGAAGTTGGTGAATCTGAGTTTGTCCAGGAGATGTTTTCATGAGTGAGATACACAAAGAAAATATTAATCTCTATAAAAAGTGTTTTGAATTTTCTAGGCTGTATATTTATAAGACTCAGATTTTAGGATGTTTTTGAGATAAGATGCAGAGATTTCTATTTACATGGTAGAACCATTATGCTGTGTGCAGTTGAACTTTCCCCACAAAATACACATTATCATAAAATATTGTAACACCCTTATTTAATTGTGTCGTGCATAAATCTATTTTTCGTGGTTTAGTATTTAACATCATTTGAAATACAAGACATTTTCTAAAGTATAAATATTTTTTCAATCACAAAGGATTGCCAATACTCTTGTTTCTGCCATTATAGTCAGGTATTCCACTGCATCGTGACACCACTGAAGTGAGCTGCAAACATGTGCAGTTGAAAAACTAATGATTGTTGTGGTTTACTACAGCAGATGCATGATCAATTACATTATGCAACAGCACAGTTTGTTTTGCTGCTTTTTAAAATAAATAAATGATCCGGTTTAGACAGGAAACCTGCAGTCATTAATGAATTCTTGTATTTTAAAGGGGTTACTTCAGAAGAAAAGAAAGGACAAACAGAAAGACAAATGCCTTGTAGAGTGTGGTCATGGTATAAACCCTGTAGAAATATGTGAACACAAAGGTTCAAATGGTGAGGTGAGTCACTGTGCGTTGGCAGCAAAGGGATACAGCTTTTAAACTACAAAGCCTTTTTCGGGTTCGTTATAGGTTATAGACTCAGTAGCTAAAAGATTGATTTTTTTCTTTCAGCTTTTTAGCGTGGAAGTTTCCTCTGCTTGATGTGTGTGACTGGAGATAGAAGTTGCTGAAGAAATAACTTCAGTCCCACCTAAAATAAAAGGCTGCATAAAAAGCCATACTTGAAGAAATACAGAGAGCAACAATAATAAAAAAGACTAAATGTGCAATAAAATATCATAACTACCATCTGGAGTGTTAGGAATGGTAGAAAAGACATTTTTTTTTGCGTTTGTAATGGTTTATTAGAAAACCATGAATATTCAGCTTGACTGATATTAGTGTAAGTGATGGGAGCACCATCTGTTACATTTTGTCCACCCCCCCTGACTTCTTATTTTCTTTCTGAAAGGTAAAAGACTGAAAATGAAACAGTTTACCCCAGAGGCTGCATAGATCATTCCCAACAACGAAAGTGCAGTTACCGAATCTCCCTCAATTGTACAGAGTTATAATTTCACCCTCATTTATATGTTTCCTGTACTCCAGCTTCACAGAGAATTGCTCAAAGCTCTGTAAGCACAAAGGGAGTTCTCATGCTACAAGACCACGATTCATCTCTCAAGCCGACTATCCCAGACTTCAGGGCTTGTGGGTGATTACCAGTTCATTTTTTTGTTCTTCTCATTTTAAATTGTATTTCCGAGTGTAGTATATGATGAAGACGCACTCGTTATTGTTCTTCAGATTATCTCGAATGGTCGTCTTGGTCGGCTTTTACTTGGGGTTTAGTTTCACACCTCACATTAAAGGCACCCTTCTGCTTGCACGAAAGTGCCGGAACTCTTTCGTCACCGACATCCACTTCCACGTTATTAGTTGTGAAAAGAGTCTGAACTAAAGTAGCGCGGTGATTTTGACCATTGGTGAATACAGAATCTGCATCTGTTAACCTTGCGTAACGTTTTCTGTTAAAGAAAGCAATTGGCCTTTCACATATAGTACGTGACGAAAAGTTTTAAAGGGGGGAATGAAAATGGGGTGTTGTATGTTACATTTCTGATGAAAAATTAAACAATGTGACAATACAATTTGTTATTATCATCCACTTGCTGTTACCTGCTATAGGTGACTATCATTTCTGATTTCTTGCTGTATTTTGCATGCCCTGTAGGTAAATACGGTGGCCTGGATACAATTTAACGAGACCTCACATTAATGTTTACAGTCCTGTAAAATCAGATGTGCGGAGGAAACAGTTGAATTACACAAGCATCCCCCCCCCCACAAATACATACAATTTTCAGATTCTGCGGTTCTTGAAAACATAAAATCGAGCATGATAGAGCATGAGTAAGAATACCTTTAATCTTAACCCGAGTTCAAGAGTCCAGTACCGCTCGTTTTTCAACGAAGAGCTCAAATGTTACTTCAGTGTTACTAAACCTTGGGTTTCGGGGTAAGTAAATGGGCGGCACGCTGTTTAGCTCTCTTGCCTTGCAGCGCTGGGGTCCTGTGTGCATTTCCTGTAGTTATCTGCGTGAAGTTCGTGTGCTCTCCTCGAGTTTGCCTCTGGGTGCTCCGGTTTCCTCCCACAGTCCAAAGACACACTGGCTTCTGGTGTGGATCCAGGTGTTTGTGTCTGCATCTGCTTGTGACATTTGCTTAACGGGGTAGGCTCCGGGTGCCGCACGACCCTCTACTGAATAAAGCGATTTAGAAAACGGACGGACAGACAAATGGGACGCTTGGACGTATTTGGGAATGGGCTGCAGCCGCCCGTGTATCTCTCGGTTGCCTCCGAGAGGGCAGATCAGAGAGGCGTGTTTCAAGGGGGTGCGACCCGAAAGTAGTCAAACGAGCTTGGTTGGACTGCAAAACTGAATCAGACTCTTTGAACATATATTAAAAACTAACGCACGGATCACTTACACACAGTGAGAGCGTTACAGTGTTTGGTTGAGTGTTTCTGAAGTCTGTGTGTATTCCGAGATAAAATGCTGAAGATCCTCTTCATTTAATTAAACTAAAGTACGCGCTTCAATTCTCTTTGTGTGGGGGCAACGCCGTGATCTGCAGCATCTGAGAAAATCAAGGGTAATACATTCCGAATTTTAGGAATATTTATATCAGTTCTTAAACGTCCGTCGCTCTGCATGAACGTTGTTAGTAAAATTCAAAAACGTGCTATTTAAGATAAAAAACGTGCGATTTAAGATAAAAAAATCTTTCAGCGGTGTCGCCGTTGGTTTTACTTTTTCTACTTGACAAGCATTTGTGAAAAAATACCATCGAAATGTACAGTACGTGCAGTACCAATCTACCACATTGACTTCTGAAACTCATACACACGCATTGGGCTTAACATAATTATAAACCTTAATAATTATGTTAATAATTAAACCCTTCTTATGTCCAAAATATCACGATGTCATTAAAAACTGCAATATATGTCGATGGACTTTCGCATATTTTGTCAATGAGAACGTCAGTCAAGTTTTTTGTGCACATTCCTATTTTCATTAACGGTTGTCAAAGAACTCTGAGACACGAATAACAAGCATATACCTGCTAAAAATCTGAATTAAGGGGAACTTCATCTGAACCTTAATTATCATGCAAATTTAGAATGAGTCGCAAGCTCCGAAACCACGAGTATTGAACCATCCCATGTTTCTGCCAAAAACGCAGTTCTGCTTTGCCAAATACAACGCCCTCGGAGGTGAGGATTTCTCTTCATGTGTTATCTGATACTTTCTTCAACGCTTTTGAAAAAGCTCTTTAAGTTTTCACACGCAAATCAAATATTTATCATTAATTAAAGATGGCTCGCTCTTTCATCTTTCTTCAAACAATTACGAAGTCCAGACATGCCACGCTGTATATATTTGGTAAAAGCTTTTATTCCAAAATAACGGTTTATGCATCATTTTTAGAGGAAACTATACACAGTAGTCTTTTCCATTAAACTTGGCAGTGGTCCACTTCTGAAACAGTATTGCTTACGATTCTCTGTACAGCTCGATTCGAGCTTTGTCTGGGTTGACATCACAGATTAGTTAAACCACAACATGTAGCCCGTCATAAAAAAAAACATTGCTTTGAAACAGTACATAAATAAAACGAATAAAACGTATTATCCACATTTCGGCACCCACATGCCGTCGTTTGCAGCACAGAAATGACCTAAGAACCTGTTAACACACATAGGAATTTTATCAAATATAACTTACTAAATAGTCCCTGATGTTAGCTTTGTCCATATTTTGTATTTACCCGGAGGAAAAAAAAAAGTCAAGTTATTCAGCACTGACAGTAACACAATGCAACACTCTGTCTGAAGCGTCTGGTTGTCAATGCAATGAAATGCATTTAGTTACAAAATAAAGTATACAGTGCGTAGGAAAGTGCTCACGACAACAACATCTTCAACCGTTTTCCATCGCCCTCACGCCAGCAGAGAGTCTATTTTGAACGGGTGGTAGCTGCTCGCAGGCGCTCTCATGGCTGTGGCCGCTCGGGCGGCAGGAAACGCCTCGGAGCTGGGCAAGCCGTCTGGAGACAACCGAAAAGTGGCAAGAATGTCTCTTCTGTGATCCACGCCAAGCACGGGGTCTGAGTAGCCATACCTATAGGCCTGCAGCAAGTGTGAGGCGGCGGGGTTCACCTGGAACAGCGGCTGTACGTGAGCCACGGCCGCAGGTGGGTAGCCCATGACATAAGGCATCATTGGGGAGCTGCTGGGCCACATCACTCTGACGCCAGAGAGGGTGGTGTTGTCTGTCTCGGCGCGGCTGTCCTCCTTGCTCTTAAAGGGTTTGCTCAGGATGCTGTCAATGGCGAACGAGCTGGAGAACTTGGTGCTGGCGCCCTCTTCCTTGGTAGCAGAAGAGGTCGTGGCAGTGGGCGCCTCTTCGCTGGCCGGGCTGTCTAGGACCTCTTGGTCCTTGGTGGGCTTTTTGCTGATGCGCTTCCTCCTGCGGCGGAAGACCCCGTCAGCAAAGGTGTACTCGCTGTTGGGGTTCAGCATCCAGTAATTGTCCTTGCCCCACGGCCGGGAGGGGTCCCGGAGCACTTTCAGAAAGCAGTCGTTGAGCGACAGGTTGTGGCGCACCGAGTTCCGCCAGCCGGTGTAGCTGCCCCGGAAAAAGGGAAATTTCTTCATAAGGTAGTCGTTGATTTCCGCCAGAGTCAGGCGCCCAGACGCGGAGTCTCGGATTGCCATCGCGATCAGAGCGATGTAGGAATAGGGAGGCTTGGGTCTCCTGGTGTAAGGTTTCGCTTTGCCATCGGCACTCGGCAGAACAGGTGCAGGGCTGTTGGCCACAAAGTCCCCGTCTGAGCCCAGCTCTTCTTCTCCCGACAGAGGAGACGGGACGCTGCCTTCCGCATCACTGCAAACCTCCAGAGGCTTTTCCTCAAAGTTGGTCCCGGAGAAAACTTCAAGTTTCATTTTTTTTTCTTCTGTTCTCTGTTGCGGCAGTTGCAATCTCCAGATATCGAGCGAGCCGGTCCCTTCGTCAAGCAAAGCTTTTTTTGTTGTTTAAAGCTTTTCTTCAACGAAACAACAGGGAAGGATGAGAGCAGGCAACTCTGTCGAAAGTACAAATGAAAACGGACAACGTTTTCAGTTCGGAGTTCCCAGTGAGCTAAGATAAGGCACCCAGGTCATTTCTGTAGAGGGACCAATTCCCAAACTGTCTCCTGAGACTTGCGGAACCGGGGTTATAATATTATCACTTCAAAAGGACCAGCCCACGGGGGCGGGCCTTATTCGTCCCAAATCCATTGAAGCGATTAAAGAATTAAGGGATAACTACAGGATCAAAACGAAAACAGAAATAAAAACAAGTCAAACATTTTTAATTCGACGGCTTCATATTAAAATAACAATCGAGTCTGCTTCTTTATTTTTTTTAGTTCTTTTTCCCGCGGCGTTTCCCCTTTCACAGTACACCTGTGTCTCTCACCTGAGATTGAAATTCATACAGACAAGGGAGTTTCATTAAAGGCAACCAGGTGGCGTACGTTTACCAGACACTGGAGAGTTTGCTGCTGGAATAACATACACAAAGCACCTTCTGATAGTAACCTGAGAACGCATCTCAGTATTTTATGAGAGTCATGCTCAACTATATTTTAACATCGCATGTGGTAATACTGGACTCTTCATAAAGTGCTTTTCTAAGTGAACACTGTCATTAGACTGTTTACATTTTCTCAAGGTCAGCTCATATAAAATAGGAAACAAACTTAATTTCGATACCACTTCTCAAACAATTTGAAAAACAGCAATTGCTTGCATTAGGTATCGAAAGACTCGTTTTCAGAGCCATACTTTATTATTTAACATGTTTTGCCCTATTTCACTGTGGTCTGTGTAACTATCTGCTTGAAGTGAGAAAAAAAATCAAATAAAATCTCATTACCAATTTTATCAAGGACTTTTGTCTGCCGTTATTTTGATAGATTTAATCATTTCTTATTTATTTTAGCGACACAAACTGCCACACGCATCAAATATAAGATTAGAAACTGAGTGCAACTCGTAACCTTTTCTCAATGTTTAAGCGTGTAACACCACAGTATGGTTAAAATGTTAATTCTGGTTTCGCTAAGAAAACGGAAACAGAAACGCAACGCTGATATAAGTTTTTCTCAAATCGAACATCTTAATCCACCTTGAATGTTTACTTTTATGATTTAACAGCCGTTTTTTGTAAATAAGAGCGTCACCTTCCACACATACACGAGTCTAAAAAACTATCAATTGTGTAAACGCAACAGAAAGATTTTTAATTGAGGCACTGTCTCAGATCCTACCTAGACCACAGTGTTTAGTTATTCTTTTACGTGTTTGTATCGGGGCTTTTCTAATGTAGCTCAGGACCTGTGCGGAAGAGAAGATTGTAAATTATTCTCAAAAACCACTTTGTCTTGGTAGATAACCGTGATTCCTTCCACATCTGGGAAAACAGCCTGTAGAAGAATACCTGAATTTTCGCCACATAGTTAATCTCGTAGAAGGGGGGTATTAATTAAATTATTTTCGATTTTAATATGTCATTTTTTTAGGTAATAACGAAATGTCAATAGGTCTGTCAGTACAGTATTTACGCCCACCTCTCCGTAGCCGAAGGCAGCTGTTTCTACATGAAGCATAGACTTACGGCAGCCTATGGACTGCATCCATCAAGCAATCTTGCCTTGTAAAGAGCGCTTTGCAGAATTTACACAGAAGTTGGTAATATGGTACCGCAAGCGTTGACCACGTGGGATAGGAGGAGAGGAAAACAAACACTACCTGTGGGATAAAATAAACCCCCAGGGGGCCCAAGTACCAGCGGTTTCCCCTCCAGGCACAGAGGCTGTGGTACATTATAATACACCGTGTGGGTGCGGGTATTCTTTAAACCACAAGCTATACTGGAACTTCACTCGTCAAGCTAAACGTTTTTTCAGGGTTGTGTGTTTATGTGTTTATGTGCTCCTATATGTGCTCCCTGCGTATTTAGGCTGCCGAATTGCCCCAGAGCATTGCCCCAGGGCCCCAGAATGACCACATCTAGTCCCTGGCAGTAATGGCATTGTGATCCCTAACTCCTTACAGGTCTATGGCGCTTTTTGTTGGACACTCCATTCAGATCCTCGTTCACCTTTAAATTGTCTTTGGGTGCTCTCTTGGTATTCATTTTTGGAAACGGGGACGGGGCTGCCAATCCTCTTGAGAAAAGTTATCAGCAACGTCACCACCCGCATGGGCTGGTATCGGTTTTGTCCGAAGTGAGAAGTTTACGGGGACTTCTTCTCACTAACATGTAACAAGATAGAACCCCATGATGAGGTAGAATCACCCAGCGCTACTTGACATTAATTATCAACGGGACACATACCGAAAGGTTTACTTAGCCTCTGCAGGTAAAAGCGAAGATCTGCAAAACAGCACACAGCGCTCGATCAAACTTTGTTTTGGTACCTCGCGTCTGTGCACGGGCCTGTTTTTATGCTTCATGTGCCTTTTTTTTTAGCATGCTTAAGACTTAGGGAAACTTTTCAGGAATGGGGAAGTTATGCGAACACAATACCGAGATGACACTACGAAAAATAAAAATAGTTTAACCTTGGATGGGCTCCATAAAAGACATCATGACAGATAGACATGTTTACAGGTGCAAACGGAGGCAGGTTAGGCTGTAACGCAGGGATTGCCTGAAAGGTCATACGTAGTTGAAGGACCTATTTGCAAGGTGGATGCACATAAATCAGACTAAAAAGCACAACACGTGTTGTCATATACTGTATATTATGTATATTATAGATATAGTACTGTATGTTTTTACTGAGAATAATTAGAAATGCAGCCTCTGAATAAAGACAAACATTAGACATGAAATGTAATTACTGTGTTTTGGATGTACCATATTTCCATTGTTTATAGAGAAACTTTTTGCTGAAAAGTTCAAAGGTCACTTGTGGTATGGGCCATGCGGTACATTTTAGTAAGGTACCCTTATATAACTGATCACAGCCTAGCTGGCTCAAACACTTGTGCAGAGCAGACCAGCAGAGAGGCCACACACAAAGGTCTGCCTCTTCATTTAGCTTGAAAAGCAACTGACATATCAACTATGTTAATTGGCAGTGACTGTCTTTGACATATATGCCTACCCACTGGCACGTGACTGCATAACATATCGAATCAAGGCACAATTCTCATCCTGCTGTAGATTCAAGCAGACTAAGGGACTCTTTCCATGTTGGGATGTTGCTGGCAGAAGAGTGACCATTGATCCTGGCAAGCAACAGGCACAGGGCTGGATACACCCTGGACAGGACACTTCTCCCAGAAGCCAGTTTAATCTGCCAGTATGTCTTTGGACTGTGGGAGGAAAGCGGAGCACCCAAAGGAAACCTGTGCAAACACTGGGAGAACATGCAAACACAGGTAGCACCTCAGGTCTGGAACTGAACCCAGGACCTCAGTGCTGTGAGGCAGCAGAGCTAACCACAGTGCCCAGTGCCATGTAATTCAAAACCACACTCCTCTGAATTCATAGATACTGATTCAGTGATTCAGTACAATTGAAAAATCTAAACACAAACAATGCATGCTTTATCAATAAATCTGATTAGTTGGACATCTCTTTTGGAGTTATGTATTACCATTGAAATTCTGTGTTGAAATAGCATAGCTTTTGTGGAGAATTCAGCTGAATTTATTCTAAAGCAAACAAACAAGCTTTTTACATACCCAGAGGATTCTGGAGATGAAAGTGTGAAAGATTTTATTCATGCAGGTCTCATCTTTTATTTTGGCATCGTTAGCCCAGTGATACTAAGGGCATCAAAATGAGCCTTGGGATGGTACATGTCCTTGTGTTGTGGAAAAGTGGAGGGAGCATTGGATATTCTGTACAGCAGGTGAAGGTGAAATTAAAAACCAGTAAAACCAGTAAAAAGTGTGCTGGTGTGGTAGGGAATTCCAAAGTCTGCTCAGAGAGAGAGATGCATGATGACTATATCATTCCTGATATATGGGCATGGGTCCATCAGACAAACTAATAGATCATAATCTGATTCACTTTCATACCTTCTTGAGTTCTCTTCTTCAGTGTCTTGATGTTGTTTGAGTTTAAATCGTGGAGTTCATATTACACCTCATAGGCTCACTAAAAACCAGAATACTAAAAAGTACAGAAATAAGTTTAAAATGGTTGTGCAGTATCACAAAAACAATTCTCAGCTGAAGGAATAGGTGCATTTTCATTTGATGTGATTAATATTTAGAAATGGCTTTGTTATCATGACTGTACATCAGTGTGTGATATTATTGTGTGAAATGACTTCTGTTGTATTAATCACTTAACAACTGCAGGATCCTGAGCTGTCTTTTGACCTTCTGTGTCTTCGTATGTGGCGTTTGCATGTGGATTTTCTGTGTACATTTTACTGTGAATGCAATCAGGTTAAACAACAGACTGGTTAATTCAAAATGCGGCAAAATTCAATTCACTTGCAGCTCCAGCAGTTTGCTTCTTTCCATTTTCGACTGTGTCTCTCGTTGTTTTTGAATACCCACCTAAGCAGGAGTGACAGGGCAACCAAGGCTGCGAAGTTACCTAAGTCTTGAGTTTTACCCTTAACCCAATGATAATGATTAAAATATTTTGTGCCACACCTTCACACAGCCTGCAGGCTACATTGACTTCAGATGAATTTGAAATATTTACCTTGCAGTGTTCGTGGAGTTCACATGGCAGCCATGCAAACCTGTGTTACCTGTCAGCGTCTACATCCGTGTGCCCCAAACAGCAGTGCCAATAAACTGCTCAACCTCACAAACGTGCCTGCCATCCCTGGTGGTATTTTTCAGAGCTCAGTGGGTGAAGGCAAATTAATATATATATATAATTAATATTTGTTTATGCTTAATCCCCTCTCCTGTCTGCTTAGATGACTAAATGTCTTGCTATCCATCTGTTTCAGAGAAAACTACTCTTAACTCCTTAGTTTGATTGTTATTGAAGGTATTATTGATGCAATGTGTAATAATAATAATACTTCACTAAAGTAGTCATGAGTCAAGCCATTCAAGCCCTTTAAGGTGAGCATCAGTACGTTTGTTTTGAAATTCACAGAGCCAGTGTCTGGAAGCTGTTACATCCTCATACATTTTAGTTACGGTGATA